CTACAAACGACGATATGACTGAATTAATTCATAATTTTGTTTCAGAACATCAAGACGGAGTGCCACAAAATAAATCTGACGGCGTTCAGATTGTTGAGTCCCGATGGGCGGCAGGATGGTGACGAGACCTCCTTGGATGGCTATCTGAATATTGATCAATTTGGACAGGTAAATATTTTTGGATTCTCGCCGTGTAATGCCGGCTTAGAATGGCACCACCTCAATTCTACCCGTGGGTGTCGTAAAAGGCGACTAAGGGGTCCAGGGAATGGGCAGCAGCGTTCCCTGTCAATTACTAATCATATGTATTAAAAATCAGTAATGAACATCCTATTTAAAGTGAACTTGTATTACTTGACATTTTATTTCAGGATTGCGAAAACCATGTTCAAAGTATGAAGTCCTCAATCGATGCACTGAAGGAGAAGGACGCGAAAGAGGCTCTCACCAGGAGTTCCATGGCCTTGGATGAGAGCTGCCAATATTTAAGGTCGTATTATTGTTCTTGCTTTTTGCGTTGTGGTCGTCCACGAAAAAGGTGGAAAGACGAATTACATATCTATCTACGCACAAAACTGGATAGAGGCGGCCCAAGATAGTGAAAAGGGGAAGAAGGAGAGGGAAGCCTTTGCCCTGCAGTAGGACCTGTCTGGCTCAAAATAATAATAAATTATAATAAATCTTTTGTTCTTAAGCAGATATTTGTTTGCTTGCTTTTTGTGTCACAATGAATCGATTATCCACGTTTCAGAGTTAGCGATCAGAACAGCAATTTCATTGTTTATGGACAGCCGATGTGGGGCAGTGGTTAGTACGACTGCCTGCGACGCAGAAGGTTCCGGGTTCGGTTCCCGGTGGGGTCATTCACAAAGCTGATATTTATCACTTTCCCAGTCTGGTTAGGACATTGCAGACTGAACCACCTGATTGTCCGAAAAGCAAGATGGTTCCGTACTTCGGAGGCCACGTTAAGCCGTCGGTCCCGGTTGCTGTCTATGATCAAGTTACATAATAATTTTGGAGGCATGCTGCTTGCCGTAGGCGGTTGAAAAACTCTGACACCAGGATTCATCGGGTCGTTGGAGGACTTGATGTCCCACTCGAAGAAGAAGATTTGTTTGCTTGCTTGTAATGTCACAATGGATCAACAATGTTTCAGAGTTAGCGACCAGAACAGCAATTTCATTGTTTACATTATATTTGTTTCTTTGAACAGGTTTGCAACTAAGAGTGCTCTGGCTACTGCGCAGAGCGCCGCCCTGAACGAAACTCTCCAAGACCTCGTCGAATTGGAGAAACGGGTTGATAAAATGCTCGTGCCCGGGGAACCTTCTACTTCGTCTGGAAAGGTAATTTCGTCTTCTGACCATTATGAAATACTTTCACGCTGTTTCTACTGTTCACTAAAACGATTTTCGTAGTAACCATTTCCGTTTTGTTAATATAAGGTGTAAAAAAATCAACTGCAAATATTTTGAGAGGTGAACCAGCCCATGAAACTGAACAACATTCCTTAAGATACCTAGGTCGAAAAATGAATAATGAATTGGATCTCACATGCAAATTGACTCGGCCGGCAAGTACACTTTGTATGTGAAGGGTAGTCCATTTTTTTCATATTTCAGCCTATGATCTTTGGCCTGGGCAAAGTTTTTGAATTTCATGGGCTGGGCATGGGCCCTTAAAATATTTGCAGTTGATTTTTTTTCATCGTTTGTATCCTATTATAATAGGTTACCGACGTCACAAGCTTATTGAAAGCTCGATCCCGCGTGATCCGCGCGGCTGCGGGGATATCCCGCGATGCGGCGCCGCAACTTCCCGCGGCGCTCTCCGCGTACGTCAGCGAAGTACGGGCACGCACCGATCTGCACGAAACGCACGAAAGAAACAGGTAAAAACAAAACAGAAGGCAGGCGTGCATGTCCTGGGTGAAATTTAACTAGTGACCAATAACGAAAATTCAAAATCGGCTGGTGATAAGTTAAGGAACAACTTTCCCCAAGGAACATAGGTCGAAATAAAAAATTTGGACCACCCATACAAAACTGCCGATTAGTTATTTTCAGTTACTATAGCGGTCCAATTTATTTATGCTTGGCGAAAGTTGTTCCTTATCACCAGCCGATTCCGAGTTTTTGCTATCGGTCACTAATAAAAGATCCCATCACCCTATATAGCAAAAATTACATACAAACTCTAGCAGGCCTGCATACATCCATACATGTCAACCAAACACAACCGAATCCAAGAAGGCTTCAGCATTTTTTACCTTCTTCCTACTACAAGCAACTTGCATGAAAACAAAAAGGCATGCCCACTACCTTCGTGTCAACGTACTGCGTTCGGGTGTTAAAAAACAACGGTTGCAAGTGATGCCTTACATCTGAGTAGGTACGCAATGTACTCATGTTACCTCTTAGGCCCAAAAACATGTCTAGTGAGGCAACGTAACTAAGTAAAATATTGAATGTAAAGAAATAAACTAATATTCATTCAACAGGGCGAAGGACCACATCAGTAAAGTGCTAGAGCTGTCAAAACAACTGACGGCTACAGCGAATACACAAGTTGCCACGTGGCAACCCATGACTGGTCCAGAGATCGCTGCGATCGTTGACAAACTTCTCAAGGTAACTTGCCGCTACGTCGAATGTCAGCCAGGTTAACCTTACGGCTTGTGACATTACTTGTGTGGCAAGAAAATGGCATTTTATTTTAGTATGATAATATTTTGTAGGGTGTAACTTTTTGCGTTCGCCTTATATTATTGTACGTACTTATGAGAATTCGGTAAGAAAAAAATGTAACTAAATTTTCATCACATCAGCATTCAGCGCCCATACCAGTCCATTGCATGACATAGGCCAAATTTTCTAAAATACGCTCAATAATTTAATTTTTTGACTTGATGACGTAATATTTGATTTCTCAGGAACTGGAAAGCGCAGTGGTGACCGACAAAGGCCAGAAGCCATCATCGCTCAGTGTCCTGAAAGCGGTCGATATCAACAGACTTCTGATGCCTGCTGATGTGATCATCGAAGGGGAACCAAGGTAAGTAGCACACTAATGACACTTCAAGCTATTGTTGAGGATGAGTCAGTTTTAAGGGTCCTGAGTGTCCAGATGGCCCATATGGTGCAGTGGTAGTGCGACTGCCTGCGACGAAAAAGTTTCCGTGTTCGATTCTCGGTGGGTCAGTTACAAAATGGATATTTATTTATAATTTTGTGAATTTGTTCCCGGTCGGGATAGGTTGTTGAAGGCTAAACCACCTGATTACCCGAAATTAAGAAGTTTCCGTGTTACGGAAAGCACGTTAAACCGTCGGTCTCGGTTGCTGTCTGTGATTAGGATTACAACGGCGGCGGTCAAAACACAAGACTGACACCGAGAATCGACGAAAGAAAAGTTTTAAGATTGGGGTGATATTAAGGTATTATTAAGTAGAAAGGAGCTCAATAAAAGTACACATATATCCGACAACATCGCATTTTATTTTCATGAATATATGAGATTCTTAGATATTAATGTAATGTGCTTATACATTTCCCGCGTCATATAAACATTCGGTCGGTTTTACTTTTTTCTCAGGCAAAGTGAGTTTGTCACAGCTACATCCTCCTCCCGTTGAAGGAGGTTTGATGTCCAGACATTATCGTTTTTTTCGGGAAAAGAAGTTTGAATAAGAATGTTAAAATATTAGTGACTCTTAGAAATAACTTTTTGACTTCTCTAGGCGCAGACACACCGTCATTGCGATGCAAGAGTTAAGTGTTTAAAACTTAATATCATCCAGCGTATTCATCAAACACAGCGCCAAGAAACTTCTACCTTATCCAAAACTTGAGCAACTCTTGGGTAGAAAAAAGTTCTACTACTGAAGCAGTAAAACATGTTTGCAAAAGTTTATTCGAACTCTTGTACGCCTGACTTCTTCGATAATGAGATTTACCACGAGGATATATAAGGTATCTATACCGAAAGTTATAGTTCTATTATCAAAATAAAAGAAAAATTAAAATGGTTCAGACCTTTTATACAAAACGGCACCTTTATAGGTGAGGAACCAATAGTCCGTCGGCCCACCGAGGCAGTCACCTACGTCACATGACATCAAGATAAGATGCACGGCAACAGGTTGAAATGGTTGTGTTAAGCAAACATCAGAAGAATCACAATCCGGAATTGGCCGAAAGTTGGAAAAGAATGTAAACATAAGTCAGCCTATTCTAAAGTAGCCGTAAGTACTTGGCAGACAGTGATTACTATTTAATTTTTTGACACCATTTGCCAAGTACTTCCGGCCATTCTGGGACAGGCATACTTATATGTTAATATCCTTAGCTAAAAACGCGCTAAATGCTGCCATGAGTTTCGTAATGATGTCATATGACGTACATAAATCTCGGATTTTCCGGCGTCTAGCCAATTCAGAGTTCTGATTATTCTGATTCTTGCTTAGCACAACCTTTCCGACCTGCTGTCGTGTCATGAGACGTAGGTAAATGCCTAGATGGGCTGACGGACTGTAAATGTGAAACGCATGCGCGCCAAAGAAATCATTAAATCACTGCACTGACCTCTACCTATAACTCATACATTGGACAGAGGTGCAGTTGCAACATCATACTGCACCTTTGAAAATTTGATAAAAGTGTTCAGTGTCCCTACTAACATCATGTTTAACCGCAATGGAACGTCTAAAGAAGATACGTTCAAGAGCTATGTAAACAAAAACAAATAAAGCAGTCTTCAAGCCACCAGTTGCATCCCGGCGAGAACAGCACCAAAATGGCAAAGGTGGGTACCAAGTTCTTTGTTCTTTGTGTTACCAAGTGTTCATTAAAAATGCCTTACTTGGCATTTTTAATGCACTCACTAAAGTATATTTTACTCATAAATGAAAATATGAAATTGAAAAAATTTATAAGCATCGACCAGGACTAAACTATATTTCTCTCATAAATGAAAATATGAAATTGAAAAAAAATATAAGCGTCGATCAGGACTCGAACCTGGAGCCGGTGGGGTACCGTCTCACTGCTCTGCCACTGAGCTATTGACGCACCGGTGGACCCTTGTGCATTTTTCAATAAGTCGAAAGGTTTAATTAAAAAATAAGTTACAATCTTTAAATGTAGTCAAATCATCCCTATCGTTTGAATGACCTAGCGGCTGACATACTTTACTTAGAATACATGCCAAACGATCCGCTATATCCTCAACTCTTACATTACAAATGATATAATGCAAATAACAGGACCTTGTATTTTATTTTGACCTTACATTTGATACCAAAAACCACTCAATAGCATCAGAAAAATAACCGCCATCTTTAAATTTCCCTCCCTCCCCCTCCTTCACTTTGATTGAGGATGGGTATCAGAGGAAACTCAAGATCTAGAGGTCCATTATATGTAACTATATTTTTCAGAAAGCTTCCGGTCCATTCTTAAAAGTGAGGAGGGACTTGTTTGAGTCGACTCCACCTACTGTGGTTTGTACCTACTTTATATAACTTTTACATGTTTTCACTAACTAGCCGTGTTTCAAAGGACATAGTTTAAAATGGACTAGGATAATGAGTTTAAGCGAGCTGTTAGTTTTTTTTTAATTGTACCTACAAACTAAGATGTTTGACTCACTTTGTACACAACGGTTATTTATTTTCGTATTTAGACATAAAGATGTTTAGAAAAGTTTTTCAGTTTACAACACATCCTGCAAATTCTTTTTCCGCGAAACATCCTGTTGTATATACAGGGCGTTGTATATACAGTGTGCTCATTTAAATGCGTACCATAGTTTAAGAGTAGGTTCAGTATCGACAAAGGAACTTCAAAAAATATTTAAAAAGTCCTAGTATAGCTATTCCTTCACAATCTGGTTGCCGACACCGGTTGGTTTGGTCGCGCGCGTTTTCGCCCGGGCTTTAGTATGCGCTGCTTCAGGCAAGATATGTCCACCCATGGTATAATAAGATATTAGAAGTATTCCATTCCGAGACTCGTGAACTACGTGACTAACACAAGCCTACGTCATCATGCTTTTGCTTGTGGGTTACCAAAATTACCCACTCTTATGATTATTTTACGATACTGTTAACTAATAAATACAATTTAAGTGTTGTTGTAAAGTTCAAGTTAATACACACGTAAATCTAAATTATAAAATTATTAAGAAATATTTTAACCCATTGTTCTGAGATTGAATTTACCCCATAACGTATTTTATTGAAATAAAGTGGCAATACTAAGTGACGTTGACTTGTGTTTCTCTGGGAAGGAAAGACCATGTTTTATTAGACTATGGGTTTGGTCGTCGAGCGCGTTTTCGCCCGGGTTTTAGTATGCGCTGCTTCAGGCAAGATACGTCCACCATCCACATGCACCGACCGCGCGGTGCGAGTACGACCCGGTACGACCCGACGATTGCCGCGCGCGCGAGCCTGTATTCGGGCGAGGCTATTCGCTCGGCCGGTAGTAACAGTTACCTCAAAAAAATTCAGATTGTAATGTTAAAAATATTAAAACCTTAAAGTTTTTAATTGTTTTTTACCGGTTCGTTAATGAATATTGAACCTACACTTTAGCTATGCCGCGCACTTAAATTAACACCTTATATTATATGTACAATTTTGTTGGTAGTTTAAAAGTACCAAAAGGGTTTGATGTCTTAAAGTACCTATGAAATAGATGCTCGGCTACCCATTTAACCTATCTACTTTATGTTTACAGGATAGAACATCCGTACCTTCTACATTTCTTATATATAATGGGAAATATAAGGTAAGCACTAGGGATGTGACTTGAGTAATGATAAATCGTTTTTTTATAATCGATTATTTCTAGTCACAAAAAATCAATTTATAATATATAGATTTTTATTTAAAAAAACATAGATTTTTAATAAAAAAACGTTTTCTTTCGTTTTGCACCATAAATTAAAAAAAATATATTACCATTCACTTTTTCATTATTTGCATGAGATTTTACATGGTTTTACTAAATCTCAAGTTACACGCAATACAATTTTTTTATGCACCTAATTACCTACCATAAATAAAATAAACTTCATACAAATTGACTCGGTCGTCGGTTGTTACATTTTTTATGGGAGATCCGTTTTTTTATCATTGTTTTGTATCATCTAGTATAGCCATAAGCAATAACATGAAACACACTCACACTCAGTCGCCGAGAATGCCGTGACCGTCGCTAAATATTGGCAAAAGTTTATTTAATTACTAGTTTTGAGTCATTGACACGAAGAAGAAGAAAAAGACTCAGTCGCCCAACGACCCGATGAACCCTGGTGTCAGTTTTACAACCGCCTACTAAAAGTACCGCTACTACAGTATTAGAACGGTTTCTTTCTTTTCACGCCGGCAAAACAGTATTTTCAGAAAATTTATCGCTTGAATGCAAAAAAAGAGCGGTTTCTTCACCGAAAAAAGCCGGGTATGTTGTGTTATAATTTAGGATTTAGATTTAGATTGGTCTAGTATGCCGCTAGTGGTACGTTAGAAAAGTGGACTAAATGACCGCTGTCGGTAAAATAGCACTTGATTTTGCTAGTCTACCGCTAGCGTCAACGCATTGAATACAGCTACTTTGCCGACAGCGGCTTCGTCGTGAATATAGCTATAATATCGACACCGAGTAGTCGGGGTATTGCGTTTGTTTGATGTTTATTTGTTGCTAGGGTTGACGAGGAGTCGTGAAGAAGGTTTTCCTACGAATCCCACATGAACCCTCATGAATCTCTAATGAACCCCGCAAGAATTCTCTTGTATCCTGCATGAATCCCGCATGTATCCCCGTGAATCCCGCACGATACCCCGATACAGAAAAAGACTTAGAAAATTTTCGATTCAGCAAGAACTTAACTGGTACCACGGGTTTCAGTATGCTGGTACAAAAGGGCCCGAAGTCAGGTTCTAAGACGGGCACTACTAAAAAAAAATAGCAACCTATTCTTCTTCGTCATCGTGTCAACGAATCCTATTAAAATCAGTTGCTTTTGGCTAACTCTTTAAACAGTGTAGAATGACAAACACATTACTAACAATTATAATTATCAAATAACTATCAATATAATAACTGTTTTCTTATTGATTTGTTTTATTTACAGATGTGTCCAATATGCCAGTCTCACATTTGTCTATTTTATATCAACTTCACCGACAAAATGATAATGTGCGAAAACGATTATTGCGATTTCCCATTTGGCTACGAGAAACCAAAGATACTGAAACCTGGAGATCAACTTGGTAAAGGATACAGTGTCATCACTGGTTTCCATAATGATCTATCTGAAGAACCACCGGAAACTCACAGTTCTACTAAAAAAGGGAAACGCTCCAATAAGAAACAAAATAAACATCGATATAAAGCAACTCGAAACCTAGCAGAACCAGAAGACGATGAGGAAAAGACGAAAAAATGGATTGAAGAATTTGCTACGGTGAATGAGGAACCTGCATTAATGAAAGATGATATTGCAAAAGATAACGAAAGATGCACAAAGGAGAACCGTAAATACAACAAGAATTTGAGGAGGAAACTCCGATTCTTAAACGAAAACCCTAATACCAACCCTGAAGTAAAAGAAGAAGAGTTACTAGCGAATGGCGTAAGAGAGTTGAAATTTGGAAAAGAAGTCAATGATGTACCACCTATTAAGAAAGAGATTGCGATTGGTGGAGAAGAGTTAAACATTGAGGCAGTTTGTGATGTACCATTTGTCAAGCAAGAAACTGCAGTTGGTTTAGGAGAGCTAAACATTGAAACAGAAAATGATGTCAATGATGTGCCAACTATCAAGGAAGAGCCGGCGATTGGTGTAGGAGAGTCTAACATTGAGACAGGAAACGTGAATATTTATGATGTACCACTTGTCAAGGAAGAGAATACAAATGATTTAGATGAACCGCCTATCAGGGAAGAGTTAGCGGAGCGTTCTTAAATATTAACTCGGTTTAGAGAGCTTGCTTTGAAGCAATATCTCGAAATCGAGTTAATATTTAAGAAAGTCGATTTTTGTTATAGCGCCAGCGGTAATTTATTCTGTGACAACTGTTTAACGATTATCGTTCATTTGATACTGCCTACGAACCATTACATATACGAGTGGTAACACTATTCTCCAAAAATACTACAGAGTCACTTCACCATTTTACAAAACATCAAAAGTCATTGTTTTCCGCGTATAATGCCGGTTTATTATAGTTTTTGTAGCTTCGTCCTTATTAAGTGATTGATATGGCGCTAACCGTTCTAACATGATTCAGTCTTCCGTTTGCTCTTCTGTTTGGTTTTTGTTCAAAAGTGCATGTCAATACGTTTTGCTTTCCTAAAGTTTTCCATAAATTAATTCATTGTAATTTTAACTAGGTATGTGTTTACTGTGAACTTCCCAACTCAATGTTTGAATTCATTTCTAGCTTTCGATTTAGAAAGAATCCTATAGATGTCGATACCTACATGTTGTTTACAAAATGTAATCCATTGTACCTAATAGTAACTATGTGTGTTTACTGCGAACTTCTCAATTCAATGCTTTAATCGCTCGTCAAGACAAGGCCTACCTATAAAAAAACCGGCCAAGAGCGTGTCAGACACGCCCACAAATAGGGTTTCGTAGTCAACGTTTAAATATCAGGTTTTTCAGCATTACCAACTTAATTTGTTGCTGGTTTGTTAGCAGCAGTATGATGACCAACCGCAAATAGAAAAACTAAATTTTTTCTGAAACCTTTAAAGGTACAATATTCGTTATAGTTTTCATTGTAACTTCAGATTGTAAGCTATATTCCATATTTATTTCAAATTTTTAGCGTTTATACTTTAGAAGTTACAGCTGGAACAAATTATGGGTCAAAAACGCCCTTTTTAAAAGCAAATATCTCGTGACAGAAACATTTTAGTGACTTTGTTTCAAAGAAACCTCACCTTAGTTTTAAAAGACCTATTCAACGATACCCTACTCAATATTGCAGAAGAAAAAAAAAATTTTTGCCCCCCTTTCACTTGTATGGGAGGGGGTCCAAAAACATTTAAAATCT